ACCATTTTTATAAATGAAGTAAACTTTTTAAGGTGAACAAAACTGTGTATACAATTTACTAATGAATCCCAAAACGATGGACAAAACTCATGTCCAGAGATTATAGCTGACAGTCTTTAATGACCTAACAATATAAAACGAATCTCCACAAGCCTTTAAACTAAGTACTATAAATTCCAGTATGATCTTTAATTAGACACATTTATTGAATCTTTTTACAAGTCAATTAAATGTGGGTAAATTAAATAGTTTAAAAATAAACTGACGATACGATTCAATGATATAACGAATGAATCGTACAAAATAAAGAGTACTCAAAGATATTTCTTTCAAGAAATTTCAATAAGACTTTAAAAGTACCAATAACGTCTAAGATCGATTATCTTCTATTCTTACATAACATTTAAAATGTTCTATAATCAATATAAGTTTTAATCACTAAATATTGTTATTCAAAAGATTTTGTGCTATGAACTACTCAAATAATAAGTGGACGATATAGTATAACAATTCTTAACATTAGTCGATGCTTTCGAGATATTATCTAAACTAAATTATATAGTTTTAAAGGATTTCTATCAACTAATATATACCTTTTGCTTAGCTCATATTCTTAGGTAAAATACGTATCCAGTACATTGAGGAAGTTGACACTTGTGAGTACATTTTCTAAAATAAAAGTTACCAATTAAAAACTTTTCCGAACGAAACGAAGATTCACAACTATGAAGAAAAAAAGAATTATTCACATGAGTTAAAACTTTTTTAAACCAATAAAATGACCTTAATTTTAATACTTGAGATCATGAGTAAATTCGATCTAGACCATCATGGGAAACCTGTAAGCACTGGACGGTCGTTTCGTCCTACTCTGGGACTCCTCAGCAGTGCGCATCCACGATCCGAACTCGCGAGATTCGGACCCAGGACATATCAGTCTCATGTGCGAGCGCTTAACCATTAAACCACTGGGCCGGCATTCGACGGTGTTAATGTCTAGCTTCAACTAAATGACTTTACCCTATAAATGTGTGAATCAAACTGATGCATTTGAAAACATAAACAAAACTTAGTTTACCGAGTTAGCTTACGTAAAATGTGACTAACTAGTAAATAACTATCTGAATTTCCCTTCTTCCGCTTCTAAATATTTCAAACTCGTAATTTAAACATATATTTAATCCTCTACTTTAATGTAACAGTACTCATGAAATAGCAGAAGAATGGAAATTAATCAATAAAGTGCTATACGAATTATGTCTGAACCAAATTATTGTGATAAAAACCTCTCATGTTTTCTAAAGTTGGTACAGATAGAGAAATTAATTAAAAAATTGTTTACTACTTAATAAAATGATTCACGTATTCACAAAATAGTTTAGCATCAATAGGAATGATAAGAAATCCTTTCAAATACGCTTATTCACGGTTGTAATTCTTTGTACTTATCTCATTAACCAACTTAACTAACAACCGACTATCAAGCTCAAGTTTTGTTCACTATATAACAAAGTCTAGCTACTGATACAAAGATAAATTAACGATTATTAACATCACAAGCGCAGTATGGCGGCCTGCTTGAATATCTGGGCTACCTGTTTCCTCCGATCTAGATATTTCATCAAGTTATCTGTTTTGTTGTTTGTTTTAGCATATCATTATGTCTATTGTGCGCACAATTTATTCAGACGCGTTTATGAAAAGTTTACAACCTTTCGCTATACGCGATACGAAAAGGTACAATCAGCGACATCATGGTGGCTGGCAATATGCATTGAAACGAATGAACATTAATCAAATGTGGATTACCGAACTCCTAACATCTAACCGGTCATCATTCAAAATTTATTGTCACAATAGATCAAGGTTTAAGAAAAGGAAACTTGTTGAAATACTTTATGCTGAGAATTCTATGTTGTACCAAAAATATAATGTTGAATATAATAATAATAATAATAATAATAATAAACTTATGGATAAGGATAGGTACCTCATAATCCTCAAATAGAAGTCAATAATTAAAGTACTAAATGGTATGACTAGAAATGAACTATAGTAATAGAGATACAGTTAATTTTTAACCTTCGTTTTAATCTTCGATTGTTTACTCATTTATACTTATTTAACTATCGCCTACGTGTTCATCCCTTTCGTTTGGTTTATTTTCAGTACTTCGTTCATTTTATGGAAGTGGGTGGGGTGTTTCTATAATTATATAACTTGATAGTTAAAATGTTCAGTAAAATGAATTGTATTTCATCGTGTTAACATATTTTACACCTTGTCTAACAAATATTTTTTATAGATTTTAAAGTATTAAACAGCAAATACTATGGGAATCTTATTAATACGTGTGAGGAAACGAGTTAAAACACTGACTTCTTTTAATAAACACGGACATGAAGAGTCTACATTTTTGAGTGGTGAAATGCATTTTCCAAAAGTATACTTCGAATAGTCAATTGAAGTTAGAAAAATCATTATACATGTCATCTTATTATTTTCATAAAACTAACCGTAACAAATAAAACTTCATTAGCATTTTAGACTACTTATAAGTAGGTAAGTTGGGCTTGGAATATTCGACTACAAAAATTTTCTATTTAGTAAGTATGGTCACATTTTCGTGAAAATGCCTAACTTAATTACCATTAGGTATTCGATAGTGAGTATCTGTGAAGTGGTTCTCTGAAAATTTTAGTGAGAACCTGTAATGTATGGAGGCAAAAATGTCAGAAATGCAACTGCAACTTATCAATAACTCGGAATGAGGCTTGGACTATCTTAAAAATGAACTGAAATTGAAAATTTGAACTGTTGGATTTCGAATCAGTGGTCCAAAGGTGTATTGATCCCCATGCGCTCTGAAGGTGTGAACCTCGACTGTGTACAATGCCATGCGCGGATACAGAGAACAAGTTCAAAACTTCAATGGCTCTGATAAGTAGTACTGCTTGGCTTTCGAAGCTTTGAAATATTTCATCATTCAGATATTATTTCTTACCCACAACAGACTCATCATTTTTCACTACTCAAATATAAGTATTCAACAGAACCATATCATTTTTGTATTACAAATTCACAAGTGCATTTTCTGATTGAAGAACAACCTCTGAAAAGTTAGGCGATGGAAGCATTGTTTCTAAAAGCATGTCTATAACTAAGTTAAATGAAAGTAGGGAGGCGGACAACCTTACAGAACACCACTTGAAGTAACCGATTTCGATGGCAGTTCCCTCATAAGCTCTCACTCACTCGACCAGTAGTGTTCGAATGGAGACCCTGTACAAGGTTAGTGCACTTCATTGATACTCCTTTCAATGACAGACACGGCCACAGAACCTCACGGTCAACAGAGTTGAATGCCACCGTAAAGTCGAGGAATGAAACGATAGTCGGACGTCGAAAAGTATTTCTATGTTCTAGATCCTGCCGACGGGTTAATATTTGCTCTATACATTTACATCTAGTTCTCAAAACTGACTAGTCTCCTCGTGTTTGCCCTTCATGGGCTCCAGTTAGATGTCGAAGTATTATCGAGGCCAATACTTTAGAAATTATACTAATGAGACGGATTCCTTTGTGACTATCACAAGAGGATTTCTGTTCTTTTTTATAGACCGGGACGATCAGCGATCGAAACCAATAGGATCGGATTACTTTCAGCTCCCAGATTTTAGCTAAATCTAGACCATCATCCTTAAAAATCTCAGAGGTTAGTCCATCAGACCCTGCCATTCTCATTTGGTTTAGATTACCTGTAGCGTTTTTAACCTCACTAAAATTTGGAAAGCTTAAGCCAATTCACCATTCAGGTACCCTGGAGATAGTGAGTAACTGAAGGTAAAATAAGTGGGGAACCATAACTGAATGGAACAAATCAAAACGTTTTGAAGAATAAAGGATTTTTGCTTCACAGTCGGATATTTATAGTTATTCATTTGAATTACTAGTCGAATTCGAGTCATAAATGCCGAATAATAACAATCTAAACCAAGACGGCTTAACAGTACGAGTATAATATTAGAAAGAGATTGAGCGATTCTTAAATCGCATGATTTCGAACCTACTAATCAGCTAGTGAGTCTCTATAAATCAAAAGTATTTCGCAATGGAATTAATGAAACCTGTTTAGAGGTTTTGAGAAATTTATTGACTTTGAGAGAACTGTTATCAGTTCTCCTATCCTAATTTTGTAAGTCACCACACAACACCATTAATCTGAGGGCAAATTTATTCATTCCAGTAATTTTTTTAAAAATCGTTTTCATATCTATAAGTAGTTTTCTAGAAAATTTATCACCGCCTACAAAATCTTTATTAATAAACTGATGAAAGTTATTAGGATGAAATTATAGGAGAATCATTGTTTTTACCTTGTCGATATGAGGAATTCATGTGTAAAAATCGTTGATTATCTTAATATTCCAACACCATCAGCCAGTTTATATGCAGTGAACAATTAACAAAACGAATTTATCGCAAGTTTACAATGAACAAAATAAATTGAAATGAAAACTGATTGATTCATTAGAAATGTAAATTCTATATATATGAAAGCAACTACTTGATACGTTTAACATTATCTTTCATACTTTGTGATAGGAAAATTTCCCTGACAATTATGAGCGCTCTCAACACCAAGACATTTCTATCGCACCTTCAATATAATTAAAATCATTCATTTTTTAATTTCGTGCAAAAATTGGAAAGTAGCTTTCTCAACTCCAATTAACTTGTCCCTATAATACACTTTTCCCTTCATGCATATGTGCAGCATTTTAACTTGACTAACATAAACAGCATCACTTAAATGATTACCCCAATAGGTATGAGTAAAGCTATCGGTGCATATTATGAGATTTCACCTATTTATCTAATCACTTAAATCTTGTTAAATTAAGCAATTAAATTAGAAAGCTTGCTTGCTTCAATAACTATATCAAACTGTTCTGAACAGTTAAAAGTTTCAACTTGAAAACAGGTATATTCCAAAACGTAATGTGAGATAAAGTCATATATTTTGTGCAGTTTACAATAAACCAATTTCAAAATATTAAAATAATCATAATTAATTAGATCTCATGAAGATTTGTGAACTACTTAGAAAACAATACAAACGATAAATATCTTCAAAGATCGACTGAATTTCTTTTCACATAAATATCGACTGCTCTTTGCCAATATTGAGATTAAAAAGTAAGCAATGTAGGCTTTATTCCATATTACACAGAAGATTTAAAAAATACAACTGATTATAAGTACAGGTGCTATACAGAACAAAAAATATCGAAGAACTGAATAATAAAATGTTTTATTGTTCCCAAATAATAAACAAACATCAACGGGAAAGACTTCATAAGAATTTTTCTGTTTTTTCTCTCGAGATTTCATGGTGTTGTACTGATTGGATTAACAGCAGTATCTGGTGTTAATATTGAAGATGCTGAAACCAGCTGACATAAACTCGGTATAGAACGTAAATTACGCATTAATAAGCATCGACCATTTTCATATTCTCTACGTGAAACAAATAGATTCAATTCAAATCTAATAAATTCATTCACTTGTTCTGTAGGTAGAGATGGACTAGTGACTTCACGACGTCTCATACGATGGAACGAACGATTCAGTGCTTCAATACAAGATGTCAACATATTGAGTGAGTTTTCATCTTGTGCCATATTTAAAGATGAAGCCAAATTAACTGTTGAGCATGCAGGATTATGATTAGAATATTCTGATGAATTGGAACCAGACACTTTTGGATCAACTGGCCTCGAACTACTACCACTACTGACTATAACATTAGAATTATTTTCAGCTGAATTTTGTGATGCATTATTAGGCACTAAAGGAACAGCTGCATCCATTCCTTCATTATTCACAGCATTTGCAACCTGATTTTGTTGACCTAAAGCATCAGGCACAACATGTTGTTCGACAACTGACGAGAACTGGGAAGATATCTGTTCTGGTGGTTCACCAAAAAAACTTCGATTCCTTTCACTTCTCAATACAGACATGAGATACTTAATTTAGGAAATAGAGAGATAACAAAGGAACATAGAAATATTACAATATCATAGGAAAGATCTTCATTCATGATAAGCAGAATTATTTTGTGAAATCAATTTGAAAAGAATATCAAAATAATATGTAGCATCTATTGTTATAACATTTTGAATCAAACATTTGGAGAACTGTGTGCAGCGGTGACTTAGTGATTGAAGGACTACACTTTTTTTTCTAACTAGTAGGTCACAGTTTTAAACCCTGATTCATCTACTTCGATTTAGGAAACTGAGTTGTATCGATAGCCTATGAAAAGAGAAGATATGGATAAACTGCCGGTTTTAGATCAAATGTCCCTTCAAGGCGCTTTTCACAGATTGATTAATCTTGAGGTTCGACGTATAGGACTAGACAATTATGGGGAATCGGCTGACTACGCTGTAAATTGTCATAGACTGAGGTGTTACTTATCTTCAACTATTCTCCACCTTGATCCATCATTGTTAGACGGAGTAGGAATAGTTAAGAAAAAAACATCAGTTTATCCACAAAGCAATCATTTATATCGCATTATTGATGCAGTCTCTACTTCCTAAGACGCGATTTGTTTTTGTGTTTGTTCGAAAATATCTTTGAATTATTACCTTATCAAGCTTACTAGAAAGATCTATTTACTGCAAGTATATAGGTGGATGATATCTCAGACAGAATAAAGAAAGCTAATACTTTTTTTAAACATAAAAGAAAAAACACATTGAATAAAATTATCAGATTACATTATTTCATATGTTGGGTAGTTGAAGTTAAGCAGTAAGAAATACTAGGCATTTTAATAAGCTTTGAGATAACTACTCATACTAAATAAGGCATGATATAAAGAGAAAACAGAAAACAGTTAGGTGGCCTGGGATCTGATTGCTGTCGAAATATACATCATGACTATCCTCGTATGTCTTTATCGACTTAAATCGCGTTGGTGAATAATGGAATTAAAATAAGTCAAATACGAGAATTAATTTCTAATACATATATTTTGTACAATTATTGGTCTGGACAGACAATCAGAGGGACGAAACAAATAGAAGAGAGCGAAACGAAATGGCGCGCAGTGGAGACGACGTGTGAGCCAACTCCATTTGATTAAGTGTGAATCAAAATTTATAGTCACACAAAAATAGGCTACATTACATGTGGTGAGTAGGACAAGACGTACACACATATACGCTCATATAAAAACAGTCAAGGTTGATAAGTGAATAATTAACAAGGTCAAAACGTGGCTCAAGAAGAATGAATAAATTGGCCTATCCAGAAGCGATAATAAGATATTATGGGCTTAACATATCAACCAACACTATAACAAACTTAATTTCCAAATTACAAATAAATTGATTAAACTTACATATCGTAATGCACCTGACTGATAGTCAGCCCAAAAATCTTCAAGTTGGTTAAGTCGTGTAAATTGTAAATTACAAATAAATTCACTTGGTGAACGAGTTTTCAATAAATTTGATGCTTGTACAAAAAAATCAATCTGACGTTCAAAAAAATCTTGACGAACTGTTTGAATTCTTCTCTAATTGCAGAAGAAGAAAAAGGAGAGAAAGCAGAATAATGAAATTTATACAATCGATAATCGATCAGTTAATATTGTTTGCTGTTTACAGAAAAATTTAGTGATTTAAAATATCAGAAGGGGTTTTGTGGAGATTTTAGTAGTTTCAATAGTTGAAATCATGAGTCAATTGAAGCTAGACTACCATGGGAAACCTGGAAGCACTGGACAGCCATTTTGTCCTAGTATGAGACTCTTCAGCAGTACGCATCCACGATCCCGCCCCCCGCGAGATCCAGGGTCCTGTGCTCGAATGTCGCGGATGCGCACTGTTGAGGAGTCTCATACTAGGATGAAATGGCTGTCCAGTGCTTCCAGGTTTTCCATGGTGGTCTAGCTTCAATTGACTCATGATTCCAACTATTGAGATTTAAAATATATAATTGATTTTATTTTCTTCTTTTGGATGACCAAAATTTTACTCATTTTCGATAAGAACTATAATGATTTAAAACTACCCTTTAAACTTTAATAATCCTGAAATATGGTTTGCTTTTATAGTGATTGTATGGTTTGAATAAAAAGTCAATTAAATACCAATTACAATTATTTAATCTTTTCTATTATCACTAATATTTATTCTATGTGAAAATTATATTTGAAATAATAATCTCAGCGATTGAAATTTATCTAATTACATTTTGTCTAGTAAAGTTGCTTGGGATTTCTTCAAGATAATAATCAAAATGGAACTCGTCAAAGAAATATATATAGTGTATAATAAAATCAAATCTTTACTGAGCTTATCCAACCATAATAAGGTGTTACCTTTTGTAAGTAGGATAACATGAATCGGTTGTATGTGAATCATATGAAAAGTTCACAATGTTAAGATCAATGAATGAATGATTGTGTATGTATGTATGTGTGTGTAAGTTTTAGTTATTAATAGTTGATATTCGGTGGTAAATTTTTTTTATATGAAGTAAAAATAAGTGAAATTGTTTCTGAATCATTGATGTGCATGTAAAATGAGAATCATCAAATATATAATTGTAGTGCTAAAATATTCCAGATTAATTTCTGTCAGAATAACGATGCATGTTAAATAAACAGTTTGGATAGAGAAAGTGTCCAATTACTTGTTAATGGACCTTTTCCATGTGATAGTTAGTTGAATACCATCTTTTCTGTTCAGACTGTTCTTATTGGCCCATATATAGAGCGCTTCTGCTGTCAATTTTTCTTTATATGTCCCAAAATCTTCCTGAAGTATTTTGATCCCTTCAAAATTGATCTTGTGTCCTGTTTCTAACTCGTGTAACGCTATTGCCGACCTATTCTCAAGTTTCTTCAGATCAACCGAGGATTTGGGAACACTTTTCAAACATTGTTCGTGTTTCTTCAAATTCACGTTCAACTGTCTTGACGTTTCTCTCACATAAACTGCATTGTAATCATGACAGTTGATTTCATAAAGAACATTCTGTTGTTCTTCCTTTGGAAACCTATCCATAACTTTCACTAGTGCTGATCTTATGGTGCCACTAGCCCGAAAATACACTCTTATATCATGTTTGTTTAGAATTCTTTTGACTTCTTCCAATGTGTCACTACGGTATGGGATGACCAGTCTTTCGGCATACATTCTAGATTAATTTTACTTTTATTTCAAATAATCCTGTTTAAGAACTCTGGGGTAATTGTTATTCCCTAAGCGCAGACAAAACTCCATTCAATTCAACCTGTTGGTCTTCCTTATCTGTAATGAGATTAATACTCCTTTTCATTAAATTTTTACAACTGTGACTTTTGTACAATACGCATGAGCCGAACCGTAATCTAATTATCTCTCAGAATGTGTTGATTTCATGAATAGCTTTATTTTCAACTTATTATTATATCTTCGTTCAAACAAACAATCGAGAAACTCTAGTTTATAGTCATTGGACTCTATATCCTTTTGTTAACTTGATGCTCTCCGAAATTTTTACATTTTCAAACAATTCTTCTAAACCACTCCATTTAACGATAATAAAAATGTCATCTACATACTGTAACCCGACTTTTGGTGGATTTATACATTTGTGACAGCAGTGGTTTCCGGGGAATGCATGAATAAATTCATTACCATCGGAGAAACTGGTGAAATCATTGTCACACCTATCACCAATACTGTTTCTACCGCTATTAATTTGGTATGTATCTTGATAATTTTATCTTGTTTAATGATATGGCTTGGTAGCTTGAATCGATGTACATATGTTGTGCATACTATATATGCTGACAGATATAAGTAGTATGTTGCAGCAATCGAATATGGAATGTCTGCCAGCAGAAGATTGAAATAAAGACAACAGGAAGGGATACAGAGAGCAGTTTTAATAACAGAATTGAAAGAATCATGAAGCATTTAAACGACAGCTGAAGGAAGATGTGCAAATAATGTATTTAACGTATGGTTTTCACATTTCGTGAACTCTGTAATATTGCATTGGATAATAAATTTGTTTTTCCCACCTGAGTTCTCGTTTACTACACATACATGCCACGTCCTAAGTTGTTTATAACTAACTGACTAATTGGTACAATATCACTATGTCAGTCAGTCATAATCAATGTAGACCCTCCCTTAAGTGTGGACTGACCCAATGTGCCATATCAAAACACTACGAAGTGAAACTAACAAATAAATCAAAATGACTCAGTAGCGATGATGAGATTGAGCATAGGGAACATGACACGAGAAGACAAGATGAAAAGAGGAAACATAGGGATTCAAGGCCTAAAGATTAATGGTGAATGGATCTGCGTAACTATGACTAATTCTGAGTCATGTCATCCAACGTTTTCAACTACTGACCGCAGTTATTAAGCGAACACCAACCAGGTAATCTGCATCTATTAACATGGCTCAGATCAATAATCGATGGCTCCAATCATCAAGGCTTCTTATAATTTTCAAGGGAAAAGTAAGGAATGATATACGTCGGAAATACAAAACGTAAATCAAAAACTGTAACTTCGAAACCTAACGCTTGTTTTATTGACAAATAAAAGTACAATATAAGCTACTAAAAAGTTTGAAAGTAATTATAATCTTCAACTTTACATTTTAGCCTACTTTCCTCGGTAAAGATAGTGGCTTCTGAAAACTTTAAATGTAAGAAAGCCCCTTGGATTATTCATCGCTTCAAAAATGAATTGTCAAAAAACTGGTAAACTTTAAAATTCATGATTTTACAGTAAATGATCATTCAAAAAACATGTGGCATCTCGTCACCAACTGAGGTGGTTGGGTGAAGTGTTATACATGGCCAACCTCGACTGGTGATGTTGTCTGGTGCAAAAATAGGCTGGGAGAAGGCTAAGTGTGGCCAAATTAAAACATGACAGTTCACTCGTAAGCTACTAGTATTTGACCACAGCTGCCTTAGAAATATTGCTGGCGTCTGCTGGGATCACCGTGTAAGTAATAGTGAGGTTAGACACAGGGTATTAGGGAATGATGGTAAATCAGTTGATGAGGTTGTGAATCTTCATCGACTGAGATGGTTGGGCCACGTGTTACGTATGCTCGAACGCCGATTACCACGACGTGCAATGCTAACCGGTGCTCGGGATGGTTGGAAGAAAGTTAGGGGCGGCCAAACCAAAACGTGGCATCAGTGCTTGAAGTCACTAGCTTCTAGTCTGAGCCATGTTGGTAGATGCAGACTACTTGGTTGGGGTCCGCGTGACTATAGTAACCAATGGTTGGAGACTCTTGGTGATATGGCTCAGAATCGATCACAATGGCGTCGGTGTATACACTCTCTGTCTTCCTTTAATCTATGAGATTAAAATCGCTTCATATCTTTCTTTCTGTGAACTAATTCTTTCTTTCTGTACTATATCCTTATTGCAATCTTTCTTTTATATATTACCGCCTCTGAATTAACTACTTTTATGAATCCGGTGTCCATCTTGTTGTGTTAAGGAGGTATGGCAACTTGGACCGATGCATATATGTACCTGGTCCTACGTTGTAGCTGACTGACTGGCTCATCAAGTCATCGAGAGTTAGACCGAACCATGTTAATAGGTGTAGACCACCTGCTTTGGGTTCACGTGATTATCATAACCAATGGTTAGAGAATCTAAATGAAATGGCTCAAGGTCGTTTGTAATGACACAAGTGTATTTGTTCTTTGCGTTTTCATAAATCCTGAGCTTGTGGACTCCTCATAATATTTTTTGGTTTCATTTCACTAATTTACAACTTCTCGACTAGTATTTTCTATGAGTATTTTTTTCCTTTTACCATGGATACTGTTACTACCTCTAATATTCGGGGATTTGACCTGACAATTTGATCTCTTTGGGTTGATGGTGTACGGCAACTTAAACCGATGTACATTCGTACCAGGTTCAACGTTGTGACTGACTGTCTGATATCAGTGTCCGAATTAAAAATATCTCTTAGTGAGTGAATTTTTCTGAGGTAATAAATTTAATAACATCTAAATAACTTTAAAAAACGTACAAATTATTGAGAATTACGTTAAGCGACAGGAAACTCACTAAACTTTCTGTAGAAGGACCAAAATCAATATTGACATGCAGTTTAATATTGCAATAATAATGGATTACTGAATCATGTGGCGAAGCAGTAATACCTATTCCTCCGCTTGACAAAACAACATGCTTTAATAAAACAGGGGGATTTGTCGAATGTTGAGAGACTACAGGAGGTGATCCACCGTCTGCAAGTCGAATATTAGGTTGAGGTGCAAACAACAGTCCACCTGGACGGTCTGCTTCCACGTTAGGAGGGTTGATGAGTGGTGCACGAATACCAGGTATGATAGGGTGGATTGGATCTTGAACGTTCTGCTCGTGGTTTAAATTATCTAAAACAACAGGAGCAGCAGGATCTACGTGATCTTGAACCTGTTGAGGCAGCCGTCTATCCGCATTGATTACCGGTCTGTTATGAATACCAACAAATCTTGAACCAAAAATCCCTGAATTGCTATTATTTACATTATTTGGAAGATTCGATATTCGAGAGGGTAGGGCTGGATTAGATAGTAGACTTGGATTAGATAACTGATTTGCAGCACGTGAAACAGCAATTAAATGTGGGATAATAGCCAGTAAATGAGAGATTAAAGGATTCTTAGGAACAGAAGGATTTGAACTACTAATACAACTTCCAGTTGTATTACTATTCGATGCATTAGGGGTTATAGACGATACACCGGGATTATCGAATGTTTGAGATAATGTAGTATGTAAAGATGCCAGCATGCTAATAAGTGACGCAGAAAGCATAGTATGCACAACAGGACCATTTAGTGAATTGGAAATAATCGCTGATCGCACTTTGCCACAGTACCGGAGAGGTGAATTTTCGAAATCACTAACTTGACCAGTCTCCGATGACGAATTAGTAGACCGGCGCCCTCGCTTCACAGATGCAATATTACCAGTACCACCAACAGATGATTTTCTTTTCAGGCTTAATCTTTAGAATAAAATTTATTCGATAAGAAGACAGAACACAAAAACTCAGGATGAGAAATCACATAAGAGATAATTGAATTACGACAGAAATAATAAATCACTGGATATACCACTTATAAAGAATATAACCTGGTTCCATCTAAGTTGTCAACTACAGTCGATTTAGTGGTGGGGAGATTTCTAAGAAATAAGGACAGGGGACTTTAACCCTTGTCACAGCGGCCCGTTATTAATAACAAAAGTTATCATGGATAAAGTAATGCAAATTTCCTTATGGCTTAGAGTATTAATACTGATGAAAAAAATTATTAGCTCGATTAAAAAACGATTTTGTTTGTTGAAAGCTAATAAATACACTTAAACAGGTTACGGAAATAGTACGAGTAGGACCACGTGTTTTTGAACCACATACTGACCTTATTGAAGCAAACTGATGAGAGATACGTACCTTGTGACTCGTGAACCCTCAACTGGCTGGCGTCGTATTATTTCATATGGAGGCTCTGGATGTACTTCTTCTTCAGACAGTGTAGAAGAATATTCTAAAAACACGCTGACTTTATCCAACAGAACTAAAATTAGGATTAGGTAAGACGAAGGTAACATTACCTTTTTGTAGCTCCTCCAAAGAACAATTAGAATGGTTGGTATTATACAAAATTGTATCAAAATATGGCAGCACATCTTGACGATCGATATATTTTAGCATTTTCTGCATAGTTCGATGGTTACTTTCGTCTATCTGTCCACATCGATACAGATATCGAAAACCAAGCTCTGGCATACTCGTAGCTTGTGTCAGTTTTCTGTTCCAATCCGACTGTCTAGGCATTAGGTCTCGGTATTTGTGCAGGGCCCGCTTGATATCTTTATCAGAAAGTTTCGCTAAAATCCATCGATATAATTCACCCACAGAAACTTGACACTTCCACTGGCGACAGTAGCGCGGATCTCGTTCAGCGACTGTATTTTGAGTTGATGGCATATCTGTATAAAGTGGAAAATGAAATACATATTTGTTTGCCTATATCCTAAGAGTTTTATAGCTTACAAAACAATATAAACGATTGCCAGTGTAAGATATAGATCTAATTCAATGTTTCTAGTTAATATCTTACAGTTTAACAAGGTTCATTCATAATGGCCTAACTCAAAATAATCAACTATAAGCACAGCTAATCTTATATACTTGAGGTTTTGAATGTATTTGGAATTCCTGTGACATTAGGGGATATACATGATTGATGGTACAGTGAAATCGAAATCTCGTGAGTTTACATACTGAAAAAGAGAACTTATTCGGAAGTCATAGAGCTAAGCGTCACTTAGTTATTGCCCATTTAAACATGAAGTCGCTAGTTATGTGACAATATACCCAGAAACTAATAACCTAAAGGGCCTGTGCAAAAAATATATCAGAAAGTTGAATAACCTTCCAACAATGAAACCTTCCTATATAACTTAACTAAAAGGACGCTAAAAACAACCCCCATTAGCCGACGAGTACAGAGACCATCAAAATCAAGAATCTGTGGTTAATATAGGAGAAAATTAAATGTTTATTTATTTATTCCGTAGCATATGAAATCTTTAAGATCTACATTTCATCTGTGATTATCTTAACGTAAACCATTTTCTTGATAGAAATCCAACAATTCAACAGGTAATATGATTCGGTCATTTATCAGGTTAAAATTAGTTTTACAAACAATTCCTCAGTTTTCATAATATTTGTATTCAGATTTCCTCGAAGATTGACGAGATTACTAAGAAACGACCGTCTAAGAACTACCCAATAAAACGAGAATGGGGAAACAAAAGCGAACTTTGAGGAGATACGAGCGACATTAGCTAAGGAAATTGGATATTAATTCAGGTGGCATTTATTTATTTTATTTGAACACCTAAGTATCGGTAAAAGGGGGCACAAAGTATATATGCGCCACAAAATGAGAATGGGAAGAGAAAAAAGGAAGGTAAGGAGCGTAAGAGAAAAAAGAACAATGTCGACCACATTAGTGTAAGGTAGTGTAATAATAATAATGTGGCATTACGGCCAAAAGTTGCTTCTTTCGCCTACGCTGGGGAAATAATGATATTGTTTACCTAAATGTCTCCTATGGGGCGAAAATCTTACAAATCCAAACGTTAGTGATTGCCAAATTGTCCACTTTGCGCCTGAATAGTTCGGACATTTACATTCACCTGCGTCACTAAATGTGATGGGTTCTAAGGAGAAGCATGAAGGGTCAGCATAAGGTATGAACTTAGTTTTCCTAGGTATTTTATGTGCTCAGTAGTTAGTCATGAGCACATTATTTGCATGTGCATGTCTGTAAGGAAGATTAAATACGAAGTGGTAATCCCGTTAACTTTAACACTTGTGTAATGACACCTTATGTTTAAGATAATACAATGATGCTTTTAAATTTGAATCAACTATTCTCACTTAGTTTTTTCTCAGCACCAAGCTAAGAAATTCTCTATCATTGAGGCCGGGCTAAAGAAGCAACTTCTTTTAGTTGCCAGATGGATTTTGAATTACAGTCACTCCATGTATATGGAAAAACATCGGAAACGTTGACATACTAGAAGAGGTCAATGTAACAGAAGACTGGTTTGTCATATAACACAAAATGTTGCGTTATACTGGCAAGTCGCAACAAAAATTACTAAAGTTACGGTAGACGATTTCGATGCTGCTAAAGTTTTCGTGTCTTCCGTGAGCGCTATCATTGGTGCAAACACAACAGGAAGCATCGATGAAAACACAGTGCCGTTGAGCATTGTGAAGTCTAAAATGTTATTACATTAAGCCTATACATCATTGGTAGAAAGCCACTAGAACGAAAATACGGTTATTTATACCATTGCGTTGATTGGAATGTAGCTAAAATGCAGGCAGGAATCAGAAACATAAAGCATCCTATGTTTCAGTTAACTGAAACGTCTCTGCCACCGGTAGCTAAGTAAGCCTACTTTTATTACAAATATATATAAACAAGTCCAACTGGGATAAAAGTACACCAATTAACTGCTACATCAACACCAACATACAATCAAAGGATAGAATAAGTCATGAGGGTAATTATATCAACTTTAATAGCCTGTCAAAATTATGTGCTAGCCTGCAACGCCTTTTTGGCAGCAATATCAGACGTGTTTGCGGATGTTAAACAACTAATGAAGGTTGTAAACAACATAGCGTTTCAGCCAACGGCGAATAGTACTTCCAAACTGTCGGGGTTTCGTTTCCCTTTATCAACTGAGGAAGGGTCGGTGACTCTGGAAACATGTAGAGAACAGATTCGTACGATCGCCTGTTCATTAAAAGATTGATTCAAAATTCAGATGAGCAAGGTGAGTAACCCAGTGGACGACAACCCAAATACATCACTTATATATATTCCGGAATATATCCTTACCCCATATTTGTCTATTAACTTCACCTTATTAGGAACAGTGAATAACATGAGCCTCAGTAAACTTCGATTATATGGAAGCATTAGTAAGCATGTCCTGTTCTAACTACTGTAATGTAGGTCCACAAATATTAAAATTTACATCCTTACTGATGAGCGGAAAAGGAGTTGGAAAACTTATAGACAGTACAACACATGATTTTAAAAATGATATGAAGGAAAAACTAAACAAGCTTTAGCAAAGAACAAAAGATAATGTAAGTGATAATTCCAACTCATAAACATTTTATTTCCCAGGCACGACAGGGTATTGTGTGCAACATTACTGTTTGACCCAATTTTATAATATATGATTAATAAGTATATTGAATTGAAACTCAACATAACTGTACATGTTTTATTACATTTCAGAATATAATCAATGATGATGAAGACTGCATTGATAAGGCAGCTAGACAAAATGCTGAGCTTATTATCCATCATTTATCGTAAATCATTTTTGCAATGCACGAATTATTTACCACTTTCATATACAGTATTTAGATCGTTCATACACTTATATATTTTATTTCTTTAGCATATGTCAAACGATGACAACACGAAGATGTGTAGCCCTCATTGGAATGTTCATGTCTATTTTAATTCTGCTAAATACTAACGACCAAAATAATTTTATATTCTGCGTTAATTATCATCGCCACTAATGTCCAGTCTCCTAGGGAAGCAAGAGCGAATTTCCGGGCTATTAAGGTGATAAGTGAAATAAAAATCGTACGTGCGGGGAATTTTTGAAGTTGGCATACGTTTAAAGGGAAAGTAGATAGTTTGACAATCAATAATGTTTGGTTTTGTAAAATTCTCGCCCCATAGGAGACATTTGAGTAAACTCTCATTATTTTCCCAGCGTAGGTAAAAGCAACTTTTGGCCATAATGCTACCTGAACTAACATCTAATTCTCTTAGCCAGTGTCGCCCGTATTTCCTCAAAGTCCACCTTTATTCACCTATACTTATTTTATTTAGTTGTGTAATCCTAAGTGCAAAAACCTTCACAGGAATTACTCTATAATGAATAAAGACTCAATAACGGTGAACGTTTCTACTATGAGTTAAGGATTATAAATTATAAAACATGCAGTCAAAATAGAAGCTAACAGAGGTCGAGCAACCTGCACAGTATGAAGACAAGGTACCTCACTTTACAAAATTACCGCTTCAGTTTTCAACATTACTGATGGTAAGTCTGCGAACCTGCGTTAATCGTTAAAGCCTATTTTCCAGTGCAGTTGCAAAGTTCCATTGAAAATGTTTACTGATGAGGCTGATACCACTTAAATAAAACTTGATGAGAAATAAAGAACCCCACTGTGCTTGTGAGATCTTTGTCTAGTCCGGAAGAGAAAAATAACGAGACAAAATAACGCACAAATCACTAATAAAGATGCAAAATGCCAATGTAAGGTAACCTCGCGTCCTACGGTACGATAAGTTGAAATGTTTCAGGCGTTTTAAGATATAGGAATATTGGTCAAGATTAGAACGAATAGTTTGACAGTAATTGAGTTTGGAAAAACTCTTCGATAAGTTTTTTCTTACACGTTAAACACGCTTGAGCATCTTAGTATGATTAATCAGGTGTAGACTGCTAGAAAATAGAACTCTAGATGTGATCATACATAGGTGGGTTATAAAATCTAAAATGTCCCCTTGTCAAAGCTATTGGATGCTCAAAGAACGCTACAATGCTGGTTAGTCCGATAGGTCGGTGACGAGACACCATCTGTCTCTGTTCATAATTAATTATAGAACTAACTACGTCATCTTTCGTTGGTATAACTCATTAGAACCCGTTATTTAACTAAGTCCAAGACTGATGATCAATTGTAGGACAGCTTTCATTGTCAATTGTACGAGTTCTATAGTTGATATTTCATTGGTGTGGTTATGACAAGTATTGAAAACAATACCCATAGACTAGATGTAACAAGTACACGTTGGAAATTCATCCACAGTGTTTAATTGGGCAGCATTTTTTAGTTGTACCTTTCCCCTGTCATGTATTTTAACCTTCATTCAGGTCTCCTTCAACAAAACCTTTTGTTACCTAGTTAACTTTCATTGTCTTTTACTGTTTCACCTTGATGACTTACATTTTGTTACTTTAATCTAGTGTAAATCTCAATTTTTATAGTTAGACAAAAAATAAGTTGAAGATATACGATGAAAAAGTAGGCAATACATGCACATACACTCATATGAAAATAGTCAGGGTTAATGAGCAAATAACTGACCAAATCAAAATGTGACTGAAGAAAGAATAATTCGGTCTGTCCAGGAGCTAGAATAACCCATCTACACTTGGCACAGAACTAGCCACAGCAGCTTTTTCAGGCACTACAATACATGTGTTTTGAATCAACCATTTATGGCTTGATCACTGATGAATTTATGCACAAGAGTTTTGGTAGCGTATACACCACACTTACGACATTTGGTTCGGAAGGATATTAGGTTGGGATTTAAGGTATGTATGAACATTCTTGTAACTGTGTGAAATAGAATAAGAATAAATAATACCATAATCCATAAAATTCAAGCTAAACTTAATTGTATCCCCATCCCTAATATTAAGGTGTAAGAGATCATTATCATTGCGAATCATCGATGATAGTTTGTATAACTACTGAGTTCTTTTGTTAGTGTAGTACAAACCACTTATTCACAAATGATACTGAGACCTAATGGCCATATGACAGACAATAGATTATGCGATTAAGAAGAACCTCGTACATGGAATCCGATCAAATATGTCAAGATCATACGCTACCAAAAAACAAAATCCAGAAGATCCTTGAAGAGGATGAACGGTTGAAAGAAGAGTGTGATATTTGTGAACAATCATGATGTAAAAAAAAGAAAATGTACAGATTTTGATATGGTGGAGAAGATTTGTAGCTCAGGTGGATGATTTTGATGGAGTTTTGTTCTCTGAGCTGGATGGTTTGGTCGTGGAGCTTTCATCGTTCTTCTGAACGACATCATCAGCACAAACTACATATAGAAGTGAAGTGTTCGAATTTCTCCATATGTGTTTCACAGCTTGTTCTGTGCACCTCGATGTTGATTGGTTCTTGTTGCCCTTAAATTTATCATTGTTTACTTCTTTGTTTTGGTTGTGTCTCCCATTGGTTTGATTTTTATTCCTATATTTATGCATGATTTTCCTGATTGGTTGATAAATTGGATTGATTTCAAATTGTTTGTTGATTGCTGATTGACCTGAGTGCCAAGCTTCTAAAAATTCTCTGATGTTTTTGGAGTTTCCTCTGTCTAAGATGTCACGACTTTACAGAAAAGTTTGGTAATATGCAACCATGCTACTACAGATTGATTAATGCTACTGGATGTAAAGAAAGTGAATTATAAGATTCTTTTTATATTTCTTAACACTCCTCTTGATGAGCTCGTAAAACTCTTATTCTCTTCCAACAGTCCGATGATTGGATCGTTGGTAAACATTTCTAGTCTAGTTTTGAATATATCAACAGAAGGTGCCGATATTACGTGTTCTGATAGAGAATCCCAGTAACTCACTACTCGGTGCGAGAAACGAAACTCCAGATGCAAACGATTCGATCTCGGTTTTTGCACATTCTTCGAATGTCCTCTCAAATGATCGGTCCTGGAAGGAAGTAAAAGATAAGATATGTTAATACCAAGGTCATCGTTCAGTATACGATAAGCCAATGTTAGATCACCCCGTACTCCACGGTAAGATAACGGAAATAAGTTTAGGTGTCTCAGTCTGTCTTCATAAGATAGGCCAGATAGACCATGTACCATCTTAGTCCCTCGTCGTTGAACTCTTTCCAGAATCTCTGCTTCATACTTGAAACAAGGACTCGCTGCTTGAATCCTATATACTAAATGTGGTCGCACGTAAATCTAGACGTTTCATCATCTAAATACTGGAAAGACCTACGAATTGACCATAACACCCTATAGCTTTTCACAGAAGCAGCCTAACAGTGACTAGTGGTTTTGAGATCACTGCTTAATATGACTCCTGGATCTTTATAGTTCCATAGTTTGTATGATAGGAATCGTCATAGTTATTTAATTGCACCGCCACGCTCTTCTAGTGACCACCCGTCCATCCATGCCACCAATGAGTTGAGATCATCCTGTATAATATTCTATCCGATATACTGTGTGTGGGTTTAGTAGCCCGTTCGCATGCTAAGTGAGCGAGAGCCATAACAAAGCAATTTTGACACTTATGGAAGATGGCTGAGAAGCCAACTCCATTTTAATTAAGCGTTACTCAGTATTTATAGTCAAACAAAATAAGCTACAGACATACAATGAATCATGGGACATGAAGTGTACACTCATATACGCTCATATAAAAAAACAGTCAAGACTGACAAGCGAATAATTGACAAGGTCAATATATGGCTCAAGTAAAATGAATAAAATAGGATGTCCGGAAGTTAGAATAAAGGTATTATGGGCTTGCCATAATAACTGACACTACATGGGTTTCCAAACATTTACGTCGTCAGCAAAGATAAGTACGGATAACTCTGCTACCGTTGGTAATTCATTCACACAAAGTAAAAATAGAAGAGGACCGAGGATCGTGCCTTGGGGAACTCCACTTTTTACAGGTCTCAATGAACAAGAGCTCCATTTACACTTACCTTTTGCCATCACTCATGGAGGAAGTCACTTATCCAATCTGTGACTGTATAATGAATTCCAAAACGTTCCAGTTTAAATTTAAGACCAGGATGGGAGATCTTATCGAAGGCTTTACTTAGATCCATGGAAATCACATCTACAGGAACATCTCGATCTTTGGCCGCAACCCAATTTTCCCTTGCAATGAGATTTGTAAAGCATGATAGACCTCTCCGAAAACCATGTGTTTCGCTGGAGGAAAGATTATGCCCTTCAACATAGTTTATAACAGATATCCGAATGATTTTTTCATCTGTTTTACGACAGCACAAGCTAAGCTAACGGGTCTATAGTTAATAACTAAATCTCTACTCCCAGCCTTATATACCGGACTAATTATCGCGTATTTCCAGTTTCTGGGCAGTTTGGACTGCCTCAGAGGCATACCAAATAGTATCTCTAAAGGTTCAGCAATTACATCTGACAGGGCTGCCATAGTCCTAGAACGAATATCATCAGGACCAATGGACATATCAGGTTTGAGAAGTTGAAATAGTACCTTTCTCAATGACTACAAGGTTCACCAGAAAGCCGCCACAATCTTTCCTCATTACTGATAGAAAACTTTAATGAAATATTCTTATAAACCTCCAGTTTTCTCGGTATCATTTCTTGCCAATATTAACCAATTTTCTTGTATCAGAAGGGATGAAGTTTCATCGCTCCTCTGAGTTTGTCTTTTGATATACGAGAACAACCGTTTCGGACTATATTTATAATCCCTAACCAATTGTTTTTCATATGATCGTGTAGTCCTACTTATTAACGCTTTACAAACATTCCTAATCTTACAATAACTGGATCTGTACTGTTCTAAACCAGTGGAGATGAACATATTCCAGTGCTTCTTCCTGAGCCTATCAAGTTTCTTAACTTGTTTAGTTATCTACTTATTACTATTTGAATACATAAATATTCGTACAAGGCGGCACCAGATACATATGCGCCACTCTGAACTGCTATGTGACTAAACTGTTTTTCAAAAACGTGGATAAAGATAAGCGGCCATTAGGAACACTCAATTTAATATGATCAAAATTACAAATTTTAGCATTAATCGCAGCGAAATGGACCGTAGTATTACAATTGAACTGAATTTGTCCAGTTTTACACTTAAAGCATTTAGAATTACGAAATGCACATCGATTACATAGGTGAAACTTGCCACAGAACAAGCATTTACCAAACTCGTGCTCATCTTTGTAACCTCCCAATGAATTGCTAAATGAAAAACATTGATTGCGCACTGGACTGAGACGACGTAGTAAAATAGTGCGACTCCTGATGCCCTGACGAATCATTTTATGGAATTTCGCTTTTTCACGACATTAAAAACTGTGGCACTTTTCATGATTTAATAGTAGTTCCTTAAGAGTTGCACAAGAAAGTAAGACAGGTTTTTCTGGATATGCCAAAGTTTTCAATAAACTATCGGCTTTTCTTCCACCCTTCACACCTTTCTTGGTCATGTGCCAGATCTCAAACCTATTCAAATAATCCTAAAAAGCATCAAAATCTGAATGTCCAACTGCTCCAAAACAGGCTCCATCGCGATGTTAATGTGATAGTTTGAAGTACTTGGATCATAGTACAAACTAGGAACCCCATAAATAACAGCCATATGAACATGGAAGAACGTATTGCATTTCGAAATCAGGCAGTCATTAAGTACAAAAGAGCACCACAGAGACCCTACTCTTGACTATGCTACTGATCTTTAGAATAACAGCGGATGGGAGAATTGTATTTTAGATCTTTTAGCCCGCAAACGTAGCTTAGAAATGTTAACAATCTACAAACTTTCCAGAAAACCAAACACAAAATACTTCTTTGCACTATTTAAAATCCACGCTTCATTACAGCTTAGGTATAGAACTTAATTTGGACATAATATGTAACTATCTCAAAAGATACCATTTAGATTCAATCCAATTTTAATAACTAAAGAAAAGTTACATAAGTGCGTTTCATGCCAAAATGAAATACACAACATAACAAATCTCTGTAAATACATAATGAATCTAAAAATGAATTGGAATAGTGTGATACGATACTATATTTTTAAAGTATATTAATATTTACAAAAGTAAATATATACAAGTCTCGAATTATAAAAACAAATATTATTTTTATATACAAGTGAACATCACACAGAATCCCAAAAACTCTTATCAATAAAACCGATTCGATCTGGCATTTTATCGATACTTTCATACTTTTCAAGCAACGACAATAATTGTATTTCTGGTAGTGATTGGCGTAGTACAGGTGATTTATTAACAATCATACCGATGGTATTGAAAAGACGTTTTGCTTGATTACCGTAGAGATTTACAAATACAAAGCCTCCAAGTTCTAATATCCCATGTAAAACCTTTAGAAATAAAAATACAATCAATTATACAAATTACAAAATGGATTAATAACTCAAATATACCGATGTGATTGTACGGAAGATACTAAGATACTGATAGTGAATTTATCTAGTATGATCAAGTCGTTTACAGTGTCAATAAGTTTGAAGAGAGTATTATAAGTAACAATATCATCCAGAGGCTATCAAACAAATTAATCAAGCGAAGGAAAATCCTTTTAATGGTAACAGTAATTTATGTAAATCGACTTATGCCAGACTGATTAATTATGTTGATATCTTCAACCAAACGCAGTAAAGCTATAGGTACATTAAAAGTAAGTTTATTTTGTGGAGCTTTTTAATTGAATCCATTACTTAAATCTATCCAACAGATAGTCCCTTATCAGAGAATAAAGAAACAGAAAGTATCTAAACATTACTGAAAAATTCTTGAAAAACTGGTTGATTTTTAGAATGCAATCCGAGAGTAATCAGAACAATAACTGAACACCAAATGAAAATTCAGACTAAATTTGAAAGTTCATCAAGTTCATGACATTGAGTAATACTAAAAACGAAAATAATAGGACTGATCTAGATATCAATAAATTAAAGTTGATAATCAGTATATCGTATATATTTATCAACAACTACAGTTAATTGTTTCTCAATCTTTTCTTGTCGATAGGACTTATGTGTGCATTGATTGGACAGAATTCTAAAGAACGTGCTCTTTAAAAGCTCATTCACTTAATGGAACCCCTTTTGAAGTTCGTATTTTAGAACATGTCCCACCTAAAAACTGCAATTTAAATAACCATAGGCATTTATTTAATGGTAAAATCACATGTCGCTTACTCAGTGTTAGGCATGATGTTAACATCCCATGAGCTATAACCATTGCCATACTTTTTCGGAATGTTTTTTTCTTTCTGGTTGAGTTATGTTAATTTTGCTAGCTTATCAAACCTATTTCCGTAATTGAACAGATCGACACTTTCAAACAAATGTGATATTGAGACTAAGAAATTACTCGCAATAGGTTTTGTGACAAACTTGTAGTGTGATAGTCAAATATAGTTTCAATTCAAATCTCGATAGACTGAACAAGTTAATATTCTATTTCATTTATCACAAATAAAAAATCACAAACAATAAGGTACAGAATGATTTAATAGTATTCTGAGAAAATAGACGACAGAAGGGTTCCGCAATCAATAAATAAATGAACAAGAATAGTATTTCATAAAAGATACAGCCTAGTTAAGAAGAAATCAATTTTTTACTATTAAGGTGTGTGCTCACATTTATGAAACATATAGTAGAAATAACTGGATCGCTGCTATCTTTACATCTATAAGCTACACAAAAGAAATCTGACCAGATGTCTTACAGGCAAAGTAAAAACGACCAGCTTAAATGCAGCTATAAAAGAAGAATGTTAATTTATTATTAATCTGGTGATCAAAGCAGGGTATGAGCAAATGTTTCTAAAGAAGCATATTTATAGAGTGGATCAAAAGTTCGATATATATGCCGTTCATGGTTCATTTCAGAACTCCACAGGAGTTTTGCTAGTACTTTTCTACATGACAGACTTGTATGAGCGATTAAAAGGACTTTTTACGCAGCTAATTTTACTTTATTAGTTTGCAGTTTACCAGGTGTCCATTCAAACAAATAACGAGTCAACTGATTTTTTGCTTCCCTGATATGCATTTACATAGCTAACTGGTCTTGTGGAGAAACCTATAATGAGCGTACCATCAGACAACTTAAGTAGTGAATGAGTGGATTGTTTAGAAAGGGTCAAACGAATATAACATTAGCTGTATTTTATCGAACTTGGTCAATAGTGCTCATGTGGTAAATAAAATTAAATCATTTGGAGTGATCCATAATATACCTTCATCGTTTCCCACCGAGATTCGATCTCATCTCCCATATGTATTCCTTCCTTAGAAGAGTAAGACCTACTAAAGAATTTTGTTAACTTTTCAAACCCTTTATTTCTCTTCATCTTTATAGTATATATTCACTCTGATTATTTGTACACTTTCCATTACGTAATTTTAATAATTGTTGGTTCAATACTTATTTCTCCAAATCTAAACTTATATCCCTATTACTATATTTGCAATTCTTATCAACACTGGTGCAACTGTCATCCTATTATCAAGTCGTACTTCTTACTTAGTTGTGTAATCTACCATTAGTTTAATAATTGCCTTGGTTGGTTTAACAGTTTTAACGCACACATATAAATATAACTGTATATTCAAGTAAAACCCAATCAAGATCTAATTGAAAATTATATATATATATATATATATATATATATATATATATATATATATATATATATATATATATATATATACCCGATAAAAATCCTCGATATTTTAAAGATTTATCGTGGGAGATCAAAGAAAACTGATTTATATCCAGATTAATTCAATTCATTTAATCATTGTTAACTACAGAATTTTGATCAAACTGAGCAACTGTTACTTAAAATTAGAATCACAATGAATTAGTCAATACCATGAAATGCATTGACAATCAAATAAACTAAATTAGGGTTGAGTGAATCAATACTAATGAAAATGAGTTGCAATTTATAGAAAAATTCATTTCATGAGTTTTGAAATTGATATCTTCTTATATGTTGGTATTTTGGAATTTGGTATCCGGAGTACATCTGAATAATATAAGGTTCTTAACTAGAAAACTCCATGTTCAAAAGCCTTAAGATGAAAATTGGATACATCGAAACTACTAAAATTAACTTTGAGACATGATAACATAAAGCCTAGTTTACCATTTTATCATACCACGTGAACTGAAGCTAAGAGGATTCAATAATAACTCCAAGAAATCTCAAAAATACAAATACTCACTTCAGCAGTTGCACAAGGAATAAATTCTTGATTTACTATCCCTGTTATTACTCGCCAAAGGAGTGAAGGATTAAGAAGTTTGTGTCGAGAAACCCCAAGATGTGGAGGTGGATGTGCCAATAAAAGTGCGGTAAACAAACGAGCTATTCCACGCCAATTAGACAGAATATCAGTGGTTGAGAACATTTCTTCGATTAAGTTAAGACCACTTGGATCAGAAAATAATCCCAATGCCGGACAAGCAAGGAATATTCGACCGAAGAATTCAAACTAACGAAAGAAAAAGCCAAACAAGTCACAAATTTATGTTACGTAAAGTAGCACAAAAAACTACACGAATTAATAATGAATATATTTTCTGTGGTATCCTAATGAGTAAAAAGATTGCATATTTGACGTTTCGTGACTTAGGGTGAGCCACATCTTCTAAGTGAATAAACAACCGAAATAAATTAACATAAGTTTAAGTAGCAGAAAGGAACTTATGTTAATTTACTTCGGTTGTTTATTTACTCTAAAGAAGTGGCTGACATTAAGTCACGAAACGTCAAAAATACGTTTTTTCTACTCATTGGGATATGATAAAAATATATTTATTAACTTTCTACCTAATACTCAATTTATTTTAAACTATAAATTCCAACTTGGAATTGACACCTATAAACTATATGAATTATTTCAAAAAACTCGATGAAATGAAACATATTCCGTTTACAAAACCTTTCGTAAGATTTATCTTTGTTGCACAAAAAGGAAAAAAGATAAGTACAGTTGAAATCATTTAATAAACGATTCACAAAACATAGTAGGTTCCGAATATCTAAAGCTTAATAATTAACCTTCGGGGAAACGAATACGATATATACAATATTGATGGAAACAAATATTTTTATGTTGACGAGAATCTATAGCAACCACACTTGATGGGTTCAAGTGAACTTTGTTTAACGAACGTAAAATAAAATTCTTCTGATACATTAGCAAAAAGTTGACTAAATATAGACTGAGTCAAACATTTTTGTCAGATTAAAGAAAATTTAGAATGCGAAACTACGAACACTACAGATTCATGCATAATTTGTACTGATATGAGCTATATATCCTAGTAATATTATTATAGACAGAAAGTCAATCTTAAAATAAGTATATTGATTTATGACGATTTTTGTCCAGTCAACTTTTAATACATTTTTCTTTGTATTGACCAGCTCACAGTAATTCTGCATTCAAGTTACAATTATCCGGTTAGACAAATTCTGTTATAGATATATAGTGGAATTAAGCTAAACGTAAATTTTTCCTTCTTAGGTCTCTATCAAGAAAACGTTTAGAGAAATTTGGAATTTACTCTCCAGTTAGCGAGTAGAAAAAAAGGATGAAAACAGATTTATTCACAGCCATTGAAGTAAGAGCGAGCCATCACATCAACAAACTATGGAATTTCGCTGAAATTCAATAACCTTAAAAGACGAACCACTGACAACTTCTACAGTGCGCCACCAACAGATGTAAATTAAACTAGAAATCAGTGGTCAAACAAGAAACAAAATCATCTATTTAGGTTAAAGTAGAAATGTATCATAAGTTTAAATCAGAAACAACCTTACACAGGCTATTTTAACTTGAACTAGTATTAAAATTTAATAGAACTGTAATTGATATATACTGATAAATTTTCTCTGACAAAGTTATTGTTTATATTCAGTTTTCTATTTCTATAAACAGAAGACCATCGTTAACTAGCTATTTAAGAATTTCATAGAATCACGAATCAGTGACACAGAATAACGGTTAGGTTTATTGGATTTCCATAAGCCACCAACAAAATGGCTGTCAGAAAAGTATGGTTATCAAAAATCAAAATGAAATCACTACCTCCCACGGGGGAGGGTAAGTGTGACTTTAATTTATAGGAATAGAGAGCGAGAAGATACTACTTCACTACGGGCCAACTAATGTCGTTAAGTATATATCATTATGATTCAACTTGACAGCAGATGAGCAAATCATAAAGCGTCGAAGTGCTTGATTGGAATAAATCTCATACCGGTATATGCTCAAAGCTTCAAGAGAAGTTTGAATCGGGAAGAAACAACTCGCATGTGTGTTTAGTTTTATATTGTCCTTAAGATAATATCGACTCGTAGCGGACATTTAAAAACTAATTAAATGTTTTAAAAATTACGGAATAAACTTTTACAATATTAAAATTAAAAATTAGATAAATTAATATACTTTAGACAAAATAAAGAAAAATTACCAGCTTATCGGGAAACAGTGAGAAAATCCCAGAGAGCAGAGAAGCATATACCAACGTTATGTCAATGTTATACGCGAATTGCTTTTCTGCTTGAGAAATGGAGGAAGAATAGAGACATTGCCATGCAAAACTGTCGATTAACTGGTTGGTGTTTCGTAATTTCTCAAAATTTGTTTGTTTTGAGCAATCAGTGATAGTGGTACGTCTAAAAATATTTAATAGACACTCTAATCTACCAATACAATGAAGCGGGTCATGTGAACTGATCTGAAAAAGTCAGAAAGTAATCACGACTAAACAAACCCTGAATTCGTCATTACTTTAAAACTGAATAATTGATTTATTATGACCTGAGGCAACTGATGGATTTTAATAGTTGAGTTTATCAGTAGACTTAACATAGGCCACTAGTGAAAACCTAGAAGAAATGGACAGTCATTTCGTTTTAGTATGGGACTCTTCATCAGTGTGCATCAACGATCCCGCACGTGGGACTCGAACCCACGACCTTCGGTCTCGCGTGCGAACGCACTGGTGAAAAGTCCCATACTAGGACGAAACGGCCGTCCAGTGCTCCCAGGTTTTCAATAGTTGTCTAGCTTGGATCAACTCATGAATTCAACTGTTAAAATTACTAAAATCTCCACAAATCCTCCTTCGAATTGATAGATTTTTGGTGACACTAAATCCTCAAATACAATCTATGGGGAAGGAAATTAATCTTGAGACTCACATATCGAATTAAAGTAATTTTCGTCTGATCAACTTTCAACGCATTTTAATTGTACTAAATTATTTGGCGCGAATTCTATCTATTGACTTTCAATCTAATTTAAGTTGTAAGTAGTCATTTGATTTTCAGTGCATTTTCCTTTAAATTGAATGACTCGATGTGGTTTTGTGGTCAGTTTGAACAAATTCTGTAATTATTGGTAACTGAGTACTATATATATATAATCTCCTAGATTGACAAAGAACAATAGTCACGTCTTTTTGAGATAGTCTCACTAACAGCCGGATTATTAAAACCTGTTCGCTTGATAAGTCTGAATAGTTGTCTACTGTTAACTACTACTGCTGCCTTTTCCATCACTTTTGCTTTCTCTGCCCACCGCTGCTCACGATCATTGCTTAGGCTTTTTATTTGCCTACGTTTAAGCTGCCTCAGCTCCTCATCGTGTTCTGAGTCAGATGGGATGAGTTTCCGAGCATCTATCAATTCTGTAGACACTGCTAAAACCCACCGAGTTTTCCTAACGTTTTAGTTGCAGTTACTAGTATATATCACTGCTGTTTCTACAGCTTTCTGGATATCATGCTAAACTGTCTAGGGGTGAGCATCACTTTCATGGTTGACTAACTCCGTCTTTAGTTGTTCCTGAAATATACTCCTAACTTTTTCACTTTGAGTTTTCACGTTATGGCTTTACAATGTCCAATGAAACGAAGACAAATACGTACTCAAACTGGAGTATGATCTGAGTCTAAATATGCGCTTCAGAATGGGCGACAGTCTTCTATCGAGCCTCTACAGAGATGGCTAATGGAAGTATGGTATATTCGGGTCCATCGACGAGTCGGTTGTGGGGGTCGCCACGTTAGACGTTTCTTCTTATGTTTAAAGACGGTTTTCTGAGGCGATCACTGAGAGAGAGTGATTTAATCGTTAGCAAGACGATCTCATGTGCTGATAGAGGTATGAGGACGGCTTTTGATTCCTGAATGCCCACTCTGTGGAAGGATATTTCTCCTTGAGGGAACTGGAAGAGATAGTGAATTAATGCTGGTCTTAGTGACCTGGGAACACGAACAAATTATTTATTTAAGCATTATTATTATTATAAACATTGGATCCTGGAGCCCATGTACACCATTGGTTTGGAATCAGGGTTTTTCAACTCCCCCAGATGGATCCTCCGTACCCATGAAATGGTTAACAAACCGAACAAATATGAGGCGCCAAAATTACAACAAAAAAGAGGAATAACAGACTAGGATGGCTTTGTATTTATTACAAAAGCGGGGGAAGAGTGATTGCATCATTACTATGGTAGATTTGGGACATAAATGGAGGCTTCTTATAAGTTTACGATACAATATAACTGGAAACTAGTGAACCTACGATTCTCTCATCGACCTTATGAAACAGTGAACGGGTTAGTTTCGGTTAAAAAAATAGTGGATAAGTAAATAAGCATCTGTTCACAACAGTTAACTCACTTGACTGCATGCACAGGTAATATCCTGTTTTATTTTTAAGGCATCCATTTTGAATTTTGAATCCCATAATGACGGATAAAGTATATTTGTGTAATTTTCAAGCAGTGCACGGGCCTTTCCAAAAGTTGGAAACACCTTTTAAAAAATAAAGTAGGTATTATATTTCACATAAATTGACCTAATTACTGATTTTTTTCAGTATCAGTTAAACTTACAGAATCATTCTCAGACAATGACACATCTGATGTAACACTTATCGTTGACTGCGGTTGCTTAGTTTTTGGAGTACCTGTGGAAGCAAGAGTTTTGCAAGCTAGAAGACACTCTTTAGCTTGAAGTTCTAATTTTTTCATGATTAATTCCATTTGATAATCCATTGCTCCGTCACAATCATCGAAAATAGGAGATGGTGAAGTCATCAAAGTCAAAGCTCGAGTTTCGATTTCTTCAATTTCATTTATCAAGCTATCCGATGGACCTACAAAATTAGGGAAGTTGGTAATTATACATAATCACGATGTAGAAGACCGTCTAAATATTGCAAATGGATAATTATGTACTTGATTCCATACAGGATTCCGAGATACACCATACGTAAATGTTAAAAATACTAGGCAAACGGCTATGGAGAACTAAATGGAGTATAATTTTAACTTACAGACAAATACTAGAAAAGCAAAACCTAAAAATACAGACGTTTTAGCAACTTTACCAAAGCGCTATGTATACAGCTTCAGGATGCGAGTATTATTTATCAAGGTTGGTGATATTATTCAACTATTGCACGATAAATTTGGCACAATTCAAATAATGAACAAAAACATCGCTCTCAGTAATAGGCGATCTATACGAAGGGAAAGTATTACAACAGGTGAAAGGGACCCAATACCTAGGAGGAATGTTGATTGATCTACAGTACGGCAGTTTATAACACAACAGCCATAAACAGGGAGAAACGACGCCGATGGTTGCATAGAACTGCAGATGAAGTAAACAGACGAAAAGTAAAGGGTACTGTAAAACGCTGGTAGCGGTGGAGAATATCGCGTAATAGAGGTAGTTTACGTTCTAACTTACGATCGTTGTAAGTTAATATCGATCGCAAATGAAAGCATTTAGCAAGTAAAGTTTACGAGGAGCACAATCTTTACGCCAACTAAATAATCTGAATGTTTTAGATAAATACTAATGCAGCGGCTCACTTAAAAGCAGACTAGTTATTGGTTCTGAAACAGCATTATAGAGACAAATAAATGAAGATGGAAAACCCTGGTGCAACATCAGGAAAACTACTCAGATCCTTTAGTAATATCCTATAAACATAATGTTGATGAAACACAATTAGAACAAGTTTACATAAGCATGCATACATCATGAGCTGGTTTGTCAATAGATTGGACACCGGTCATAGTGTTAGATTCACGACGACAGGAGTACTGATAATAACAAGAAGAACCAACATAGGTGGTTGGAGACAAAAATTACTCGGCTACTTTCAAATTCCTTGCGTTTGATCTTTATACGTTACTGCTATCTTGCTTCGAAACGAAACTAATCAATACGATTCGTCGCTGCTGTCATTAAAAGTTTCCCATATGGTAAAAGTAACTTCTGGAATCCGAACACTTTACGTAAGTCGTGAAATAAACAAAGATGGCTGACTAAATCGAATTTGATTATGTTAGTACAGCTGGAACACGTACTACGAATTTCCAGTTACTAACTGAAGGGGAATGTTGGACAGATTGAACTGATCGGGTAAGCTTAAAGCGCACAAAATTTTCGGAGCAGCAAGAAATTGGGAATGAGCCAGACAAAAAACAACACGAATTACTAATCACCGGCGTCGCATATTAGATGTCACTAGGTGTATATAAAACTGCTACATTTACGGGTAGAAATACACAGGTGATTAGAAACCTCAGGTGACATTTGAGATTTGTTTTTATTTTGAATCATGATTTTTAATATCGTTCTTAACACATAGCATATTGGCAGTTCTGATCACGTTCCACAGTGTTTTTGTATTTTTAGCTGCCATCGTTGAATTTCCCATTCTCTATCGTCTGTGTTGTATGTTTACGTGACGTAAGACTCATAAGACTACTAATTTACACAGTACAAAAGACTCATTTGCATCGTAAATTAAACACAGGTATCATTAAGCGTAGTAGCAAGTGATCTACATGATCAAATTTTTAACAAGCACAGAGGGGATGAGTTCATATCATAATCAATGTATGAAATTCGACCCCACTTTGAAAACGAGAATAATTACACATCAGGTTTATAATAGGCTGACTATAACTTGTCATATATCTCAAGTGAAAACCAAAACATATTCTTCGTAAATATCTTGGTTTTATATCGAATATTCCCTTTTTTGTTAACATGACAGAAAAACTTGACATTGTAACTAGGATTCCTATGTCCTAAGTAGACCGTAAAAAACCAAAAAAACTTGGTGTGACATACGCAAGACAGATCCTAATTTTTGACAACGCAGGTTCATTACTTCAATTCGAATACTGATGATGTTATTGATGATATCATTGAGTAAATCCTGATTAGCTTGTCTCCGCGAAAACCCATAGTAACCCATACATGCTGTCGAAGGATATATTTCTGCTGGAGTATAATTTATTTCTGTTTGACACGTATTTGTAGAGGCTTCTTCATTTCCTTCAGAATTTACACTAAGGGAAAGCGAAGTAAAACTCTCCTCCAGCATATCTGTAATTCTGGCAATTGAACGTTGAGATCTAACTACGTTTTTTTCATAAGCTCGAACTGCATTATTATGCTTTGCGACTGCAGAGACCCACGCATCCCTAATACCAAACATATAGCCTGTCTCGAAATCTACACTCATCTGTAAACGTAAAGACAACAAGTGAATCTCCGCACTTCCCAATGAACTGTTCAATATCTCGATTTTAATTATTCTCCTGGTTGATGTTATGGAAACGTGAACGTTCAAAAACCGTTTGTGGTATAGAAGGCGTTTAAACCAATTTCTCGCGTAGTATATTCTAATATTTTTCTAATGTGTGTAAAAACCTACATGGTATAAGTATCACATTCGTTACTCAAATTTAACTCACCTGTAGTCATTTTTAAGTTGTCCTGAACTAGATGTGAAGGAGGAAGATGGGGCAGTGTACATCCAAAGTCATATCTTAGTATTCTATGAATATAAATAGGATCACTTCTTAATCTGTGAAAGTTTGGAAACGTCGAACTTTTCAAGGTACTTTGGGCATGACAAGTCTCACAGTTACGGAATTGGAAGAGAACCCGAGTTTTGTACTATTTAACGGTGATCCAAGTCACTTTTCAAACACTTTTTGTTTTCCACAGCTCAACTTTCCTGTTTGGACAAAATGTAGCGCCAGTGAAAAGTTATTGTGCCCTAATCAAATGATCCGGCGGTCGGGTCACGAATTGTCGAACATTTCACCGATCTTCCTCAAGTTCAAGAACGACCGATTAGCATCAGTCAACTGAATGTCATGGACTGGTTAATTAGGTGGTTGTCACACTATTCCTTGAACCTACTTTTAATACTGTGGTCTGTGCTACTGATGTCGATAGATATAAGTTGTATGTGTCATCAATCGAAAGTGTAGTACCTGGTAGCAGAAGGTTAAGAAGATCGATGAAAAGAGAACGAGGAACAATGAATGATTGCAATGGAAGTCATTGGTTGTCGTTTGCAAAAGGAACAGTTAATTTTCAGACAACTGATTGAGATTTAGCAAATTAATTATGTACTGTATGGTTCTCAAATTTTACTAAGATATTCTGTAATTTTGTGTTCAAATACATTCGACTGAAAGATAAATTTGAAAAGAGAGCAGCAACAAGTGATCGGGAAACATACGCAATCATTTAAGGATGATTGATTCCATTCTCAACACACACAAAATAAAAATTTACGTACGCATGATTTGAGGATTAGTCAAATCGGATTTGTGATAGTCCCTCTGCTTGAGTGAAATTTTGAAAATTATTGTGAGGGGCATCAATATGTTTATAAACACCCTCCATACAAGAGTTTATACAGTACCAAAAAAAATCGCTTTATGAACACCAAATTCGTCTGATGGAATTTTCAAAAAAGTCTTTTTACGCCGCTAAGCCTCTCACCGTTTTTCCTTATCGGCCCATCTTTTACGGATGTGTCAAGGAAGGTCTCTTGCATCTAGGCACGTTGTTGTGTACTTATAAATCCACGTGCACAATGAACAGTCGGAATGAGGCATTATTTCTGAGAGTACCCCAGGGTCGAGATGAGGTTTTGGAGTAGAATCCGATTCGAAGTGATTCGCCATCGTTTCTCTTTTACACTGGCGCTTCTACATAGTCCGTGACACACTTCATTCTGTGCTTCGATATGGAGTTCTTGGCAGTACATTTGTTCACTTACGAAACTACTCCCTTTGAATGTTTGATTGCAGTTTTCACAAGCTGACTCGCACATTTCAACTAAGAAGCACGGGTTTTGTCGGTACACATGTTCCTGATATGTTTGTACATTTACATTGATTAATGACTGATATAGATATTACAAAATTCTCATTTTGCTTCATTTAATGTCGAATCTACAGGCTTATGCAAGCATAGCAGTGTTTTTTTCTTATTTGCATTATTTGACAACTTCCTTTACTTCTCTTTGTTTTGTTTACCAATTTTTCTATCGAAGTACCACGATCATCATTGGCGACAAGACTTTCAAACCCATTAAGCGAAAGAATTGATAAACGTTTGGATCACTGACATTTATGGAAACCAAAAACGTGTTAAACAGCGAGCAACGTGATTTCAGATAAAGGTTTATCCAGAACAACAAACCTCTTTATAGCAACAGTGAAATGAATAAAAGCTCTAGACAATGGAAAATCATTCTTTGTTGTCAACATAGACTTTAGCAAAGCATTTGACAAGGTTCGGACAAATAGACTGCTATTAAAGCTAGAAAAGCTTGGCATTGCTGGACCTCTCCCAGAATGGCTTAGGGATTTCCTTGTAGGTCGTAGACAGAAAGTTAGAGTAAGTTCGAAGTGCTCTATCTGGAGATTAGTACGTAGTGGAGTACCTCAAGGTTCTGTCCTAGATACTTCACTTTTTTAACTGTATGTAATTGATCTCCAAAGTGTGGTTCAATCCTTAATGTTATTATACGCTGGCGATGCAAAAATCCGGTAGGAAATAACAGGAGACACAGATAGATGTGCACATCAGGCAGACTTGAATATTGTGATTAGCTGGTTTAAAGAGTGGCTGATGCCTATCAGCGCGGAAAAGTGTATCTACATGCACTTTATGGATACAAAAGTAAATAGATACAGCATAGGGAAAGTGCCTGTACACATGGTTCGGTCTCACAACGATCTTGGGGCAACCGTGAGTCATGATCATAAGACCATTGAACATTGCAAGGAGGTTCCAGCTAAAGGGTTAAAAAAACCCAAGGCTTAAGGACGGACAGATACACAGTCTTATGCCATCATGCTCACTAAAGTATACATAGTCTTAGTGAGAACCAAACTTGAAAATTGCGTTCACACCGCAAGCCTCTTTGAAAGGTGACTCAGATATCCTGGAAAACGTAGAGGGGGCAGCTACCCCGGCAATTCAAGGACTTCGGAGTTTGCCATATAAAAAGCTGTGAGAAAGGCTAGATCTCTTTACTATCTCCTACCAAAAACTGGCAGGTGATCTGATTTTGATGTATTGAGTACTAAGAAATGATTTTGAACCTAATATATCCTGTCCTTACCTTTCCACTAGATTGTGACATCTCGGAGGACATAGCAGGCGAGCAGGAGAGTCAAGAACGGGCAAAATACCTGTGGTATCCAGGTTTTTACACCGAGTGATCAGTTAATGGAACCTGTTACCCGAATCAGAGATGTCCGCACCTTCAATTGACTCATTCAAGATAAGGCTATACACTCGCAAAAAATACTACAAGTGGAATAACACAGGCCGTAGTCCTTCTGTCTTTACTACACAAATCTGTATCTGAAAAATATAGGTACACTTACACTCACCTGCGCTTGTTTTGATTTCGACAAGTTGGCCTTGAGGCTCACATGATTGCGATCGTATGTTACGCCACATCAATTCGTATTGTAAATCTACCAGAGTGTAAGTTACGTGGTCTAAGTAGTACCTATCCTTATGATAACTGTGAATCAAATGAACACTATTTGACTATTCAAGAAAAACAGAACTCACACTCCACCCATGCATATCGGATAGTGAAAAATGTTTTCTCTTTAAACTTGCTGGAATTTCAGTATTTGTACGATGCTTCCATGGATCAGGTTTTTGCTGCTTGCCTACTTCGCTACCTCAGGCATCTCAAAACTGTACCGGCTATGTTCCTTCCATGTCAGTATGAACGAACATTATGTGATAACCCAATGTAAGCTAATTTTCTGTATAATTTTGTACAAGGTGGAAAGTTGTTATAAGTCGTCTGATAAAGGCAATTGTAATCGAAGAATCCATGGCATGGCTTTCTACACTTGGTGGTGGATATTCTTCACTTGGAGATCACAGTGATTATGCGGTAAAGTAATATTTTTGCCTAACTCAAGTAGGCGAGTTTGGCTGGGACGGTCTCACTCTTTCAAATGAGCCTTGCGTTAGAAATCAACTCGCCTGTTCTCCTAGCTAAGTCCCAACTTTGGTTTGCTCAAAGTTTAATGCAGAGAGGATATTTGAAAAATTCTGCTAAAATATTGAGGTAACACAACTTTATTTATATAAACTGGTATCTGGGTTTCCTGATTCCATTAAATTGTGATAATGTGTGTCAA